AATACAATACATATTGTATTGTTGGAACTGTTTATATTGAAATAGTTCTATTATAGGCAAAGTGATAAGTTGATTTTAAATGTCCCACCCTTGGACTTGGTACAAGGGGATAGATTCAAAAGATAAGAAACAGATTCCCCACATTTTCCTTCATTTCTACACCAAAGGCTCAGGGAGCCTACAAGAGAAAGTACTGGCAGACCGAGCAATTCTCACTGTGTAGTTAGCCCCATTCTTCCATTACAGTCCAGCTTTCCATACAATCAAGCCGAGGCCATGTATGTGATTTGCCCTCATGGCAGAGATGAACAATGTCTATTTCCAGGGCATGGATGTAAAAGCTTCCCACCCTGTCATGCTTGTAGGCACAGAAGGAACTGGACAGCCATATACTTGGTGAGGGCCCTGCTTTGGAGGACCAATGAATTCCCAGTAAACAGTGTGTGTTTTCTGAATTAAACTTTAAAGCTACTAGAGACTGGGGTTAGGGTTGGGGGTGGGTACCCACTATTACAAAAGTAACCTAGGAGAATAAATGAGCCCTACCCTCTAAACTGAAGAATTAAATTCATATGACCATTGGATGATCAAGGTGATATTGATGATTGGCAAGGAAGTAAAACAGGAACTAAGAAAAGAAAGGGCTGAATTTTCAATCTGTAGGGCGAAGTGGGGTAATATTCCATTCCATCTATAGGTAGCAATAAGAGCTAAAACAAACAAACAAACAAACAAAACAAAACAAATCCCAACAATAAAACTGACTGGATCAATAAATAGATTTATAAAATACAAGAGTTTTTTCTTTTTTGGTTTTGGTTTTGTTTTTTTGGCACCAGGTGTGTTCTGTGATCTGTTTTTTAGGTTGTTTGTTTGTTTGTTTGTTTGTTTTTTGCCTCTCATTAGCCTGCCTCAGGTGTACTCCCTGGTAATCAGTGCTTAGGGTATAAGTCTTTCCTTGGATAACTACCCAGAAAGGAATGTAAAAGATCTACTTAGTTTATTTTATGTTTAAAGTACAACCCAGTGAATCACAAAATGAGGGCTTTTGTTTTTGTTTTGTTTTGTTTCAACAAAACATCTTGATAACCATCTTAACAAGCTTTATATTACAAGCAAGGAAGCCAAGCCTGGATAAACTCCTATACCCACCACTTCTAGATTTCAGATGCTAGTGATCTTCAGGGCTCAGGACCCTCACTCAGTCATCTATCACTATAGCAGGTTACTCTTCCACATACTCGAACACCAGGTCTTCCCTTAGGTCAAAACATCAACTGCATATGGTTGATTCTAATTAGAGAGATCAGCCAGATGGCAATTATCATAAATGTGATAAATGCTATGATAAAGTTAATTATAAAATGCTAGGAAAACACAGATAACTGATAGACTAAGAAAGGCCAGGCATGGAGAGTATCAGAAAGTCTTCCAAATGAGGTAGTATCTGCTTGAGTTTTCAAGAACTGAATAGAACAAGGAAGGAAAAACTAAAAGAGAAACAACGGTGTATATGACAACATAGTTGAAGAACTGTGAATAGGCCGAAATTCAATGTCAGTTGGGAACGTCAAGGAATGGTCGGTCAAAAGAGGGACAGAAAAATGACCAGAACTATGTGTGCTGTTAGGGGAAAGCTCGGGCAGTATTGTGTAGGAAATGGAAAGAATAGAAGTGAGTGATACAATGGATTTTAAAAGGGTTTGAAAGATCAGTTAAGAATATCTATCTAAGGAATAAGATGAAGCAGACAGAAACATAGAGACAGTGAGATTTCTATCAAAAGCAATATTGTAGCATTGGGTTTTAAGCAAGATGGAAGAAAAACAAAAGGTGAGTAAAGAGAGAGAGAGAAGGCATCATTAGGCTTACAAAAAGTCAGACACCATGTATTGGCATAAGGAAACTGCCTTTGTTCCAGGTACTGGAGATTACTTGAAGGCAACTGGGAGATGATACATGAACTGAAGATGAATTACATCTGGATTTGTAGATGGAGCCAAGACTAATTCTCATGAGATGTGGGTTGCAACTTAAGTGAAAGAAATAAATCTGATCTTCAAAGGTGGCCTGTGAGATAATGGAGTATGAGAGTATTGGGACTGGACTGGCTAACAGCTTCCAATGGACAAAACTGAGAGGCCAGGGCTATAGTGAGACGGTTACTGGGCACAAGAGGATGCGGCAATGACAGCAGAGTAGGGGGGTGGGATTTCTAGACTTCAGTAGAGCCTGGTTTACGCCATCATGCTTTACCTCCCCACTTCTTTCTGTGAATATGGCCCATTCAAACAGAAACATCATGTTCCTCATCCACAAGTGTCCATGGTTTATTACAATAACAATATCACCATCCAAATGCATCATGACACCTCAAACTATAGATGTACTTCTGACTACACTAGCCAGCCATAATTTTCCTCTCTATCTTGAGAATATAGGTAGACTGGGTTAAGCTTTGGGACTAGAAACCACAATAAAGTAAGAGTGAGTCTCAAGCTATGATTTATGTTATGTGGGAAATGATTATATATCATTTAACTTTGCCTGAAGTCAACATTACCTGACAACAAAATTACCTTGTTAGGGTAATTTTTCTCAAAGTCAAGTTCACCAAGCAGCACACTCCCCTCCACACAGAATTTCCACTCAAGTAAAGCACATCTCTAGCTCCAAATTAATCTTGGGCTTCCTCCTCTCTTCCTTACGTCTGTGTTGCCCCAGATACTGCAGAAGTTGGGTAAACAAATTGCTGAACTTCTTCAAGTGGTTAAGTCTTCACTATAAAATATGTCAGCCAGGGATTCTCAGCAGACCAGGAAAGAGAACATGAGAATAGCCTGCCTCTAACCCCAACATAGTATCTACTCTACCACATTCAAAAGCAGATCTACCAGGCTAAGACTGGAAGTCTGTCCTCAACAGTTGCCTACACTAGTCCAAGGATGGATGAGTGTGATGTCTTCCAGTTTTCAGAGGGCACCTGCTGAGGGACGGGGGAAAGGTGTTTATGCAGAGATCACATACAGCCCCTACATCCTGAGGATGGGATGAAGATGGGGTGTAACCTCTAAGTTACAAAGCCTGGTCTGAGGAGAATAAAAGTCTGCTAGGTAGCTTCTTGACATTTCATACTACTAATTAATTATGCAAATTCAATGTCACTCACTTATCTCTTCAAAGTCTGAAGCAGGAACAGTCATAAAGAAAAGAAGAGAAAATCATGGATTATGAGAGCCTGGTGGTCAGCATGAGAGGCTCAAAAGCCCAAGGTCAGGTGTTCCTGTAACATAGCCAGAGATTCAAAAACAAAACCAGAGAGAACTTTCCCCTGCTTGATGGTGAATTATGAGAATTACGAAATGCTGCTGTCTTGTAAGGGACGATATCTTTATATCTCACGATCTATGGCCTGCAAGGCACTTGCGTTCTTATCTTCAGTTGCTTTCCTTTCACCTGTTTATGAGGCTGTTTCTGCACTTTTAAAATAAGGGGCCCTGGATCAGAAGGTATCTATGTCTCAGTTCTTAGGACTTATATGGCGAGGGCAGATGTGGCCCCTAAGGACACCTGGCCCTCACTAAGTAATTCAAATCTAAAACTATGGAACTTTTGAAAGCACTCTAGCTTGTCGTAAGCAAATAGCATGCTCACTGAAGAGTGGGATGGGTGAGGATGAAAACAATCAAACTTTAAGTGGTCACTGTATCAGGCTGACGGTTGAAGAGTAACAGTCGTGAGGCATAACATCACTGTTTATTTCACCACCTTGTAAAGAGTTCTGACCTTCAGACTGATGAAAACAGTAACCTTGTCTGTTTCACTTCCTGTTTCCATCAAGTAGCAGAGGCCATCTGAACTGACTGGCCATGGGAAGGGCTGCTCTAAAAACTACACAGTATCTGTAGGATAGGGCAGTAGCTAATACAGTGGAGGAACTCAGTCAATGTCAAGATCTTTGGTTGTCCTTGCCTGGCACAGAGAACGGCACATGGAGCCCTTTGAAGATATCTATTGAAGGAGCAGAGGGACAGGGCTTTGCTGTGATCTCTGCCCTCTAAGAGGTTCCACTGTTCTACAACTGTCCATTTTCTGAACTCAGCCCTGAAATAAGACATTCTCTGTTCTGCTCTTCTTCACATTATCCAAAATAATTCAATGTCCACCTTCTCCTCTGGGAAAATCAAAGGTTGACATGGCTACCTTTTGAACTCAAGCTGTTAAAGATCCTTTCTTGTGTTCAAAAACTCTTCCTGATTTTGAAAGGTCTTATTGATAAAACAGAGAGGAACTCAGGGGAAAAGGACAAAGAGAAAGAAGAAGAAAGAGAAAGAATAAAGAGGCCAGAAAAGAAAGAGAAGGGAAACGGCTCAAGAGGAGCAGAGAGAGGCAAAGGCTACTGAATGCATAATTTCCAATGAGCCCATCCAACAAGCATAGAGTGCTATTTTTAAAAACCAAGTAGAAACTGTTTACATAAATCCAAAGGATATATGCTTTGTTCAATGAGGAAAATGATAATGCATTCAATTCATGAATTCTTGAATTAGTCTGTGTAATGTTTGCTTCTGGAACCAATAACGAATCTGATCTAAATATTTAAGAGAAGAAAGAAAAAGTTTAAGAGCTCAAGATAGAAGAACATTTTCTTTCTCCTTTTGTTTTTAATACTATTTGCATTGGCAGTATTCAAATAATTCGGTGATATATTTTGGGATGGAGGTAATTGAAGGGAGTGTCACAAAACCATCCAAGTACATCCTGAAGACCTCTGCTCCCAAGTACATATAAAAGTCAAATAAATATTAAACAGTTTAAAACTAAGTCATGTAGAAAAGTCACACAGATCTTAAACAATTTTATAATTGTGCTTATTGATGATGTGTTCAAAAAAGATATGTTCCAATAAACACATATTAAGAGTCAATTGGGCCTTAATTATATTTAGCAAGCTTTATATCCTCATTAGAAACAGAATCCCCACAATAAACATGACTTACCAATGGAATTAACTCTGCCACAATTGTCTACTCTTCCCAAACATTCTTTATGTGCTTTTGCTCCACACTTAAAACATAAGTAGCCTTGATAAAATGTTCCCCTGAAAGTTAAAAAAAAATAGAGAATGGTGTATTAAAAAGTGCTAAGTTCTGCTTATATAAAATAACCAGTGTAAGGAAAGTGGGATCATATCACTACCCAAATCACCATCAGTAAAAGGACTCAAGGCCAGCAGGTGGAAAAGGTAACACGTCTGCTTCAGAGCACCCTTGGGCAGATTGCTAGAGAACTCTGAGGTACTTCACAACTACACCTATTCATCTAAATAGGAAGAAGGGCCTGAGAAAGCTTACCTCAGGAGCATCTGGCAGACCCTGCAGGATGTCACCCGAGTGAAGGTGTGCATCTTGAAATCATGGGAATTGGAGTCTGCATAGTCTGGCCTTATGTTGGATCTGCAAAAAGGGAAAAGTCACTTCCTACATAGTTTCATGACCAAGTGTCAGTCTAAGCACATAGCAAATTCATCCAACCTGCATCAGGAGAAAGCCAACTTGTGCTCAAAGGTAAGTCAGTACATACTAGTTTGCAAGCCAAACGTCTGCTAGCACTAAAATCTTCCCTGAAGCCCAGTTGTGTAGAGACCTGTGACTTAGAAGACGTCAGCAACTTGATCCTTCTCAGAACTGTGTGTCACAGAGGTCTCTGAGCCATGCCACCTCGGTCGGTCTGCTGGAAACCAGAACCAGCTAGATATTCATGTCATGTGTCAAGTTCTTTGCTTTACTATATCATGGAAATATGAACTAGCTGGTGAGATGGGAGGTAAGGCAGAGTACAGAGTGTTTCAGGAGCTCATCTCTAAGGAAGTGCAGGGATTCTGTGAGGGTCTCCAGAAAGGATCAAGGTCATCCTATAGAAGGTGGCCAGCACTGCAGTGATCTGACCAGAAACATTCTGCCTTAACAATTTACTTGCTTTACAGTCCAAATAAAACTGAACAAAAAGCACTTCATTTGGAACTGTACTAATGTCCTACACACAGGCACCCAAAACTATCATGAATCACTTCATGATAAGAAGCACTTCAGTGCACAGTTAGCATATGCTGGGCATGGAGAAAACCCTTGGCATTCACTTCTTGTTTACCTTTCATGTTAGTACTGAATAAGGCATGAGTAATAGGACTAGCTCACAAGGAATGAAACAGGCTTATCCTAAAGCAATGCTTCCCCTAAGGTGATAGAAACGGCTAATGAAGAGCATCCACCCAGGTGTGTGTTCTCAGCCACTAAGGCTATAATGAAAGAAACAAATCGGCAATATCCACATCTAAATTACTAGGGCTTTGAAGCTTAGCAGGTATGTTGGAAACAGTCAGATATAGATATTCTTAGAGAATTGTTTACATTGTTTTTAATCTAGCCATAGGACAGAAAAAATAGAATAAAGGGAAGCTTTAAATAAATATGAATTAGAGATACATCTAGAAAAGATAATATCTTCTGAGATATTACACACAACCTGAGAGACTGTAAGATATGTTTGAGATTCTGATGAGCTAGGATTTCCCCTCTTATAGAATACTGCACCTCTCCAGCTCACAGAGTCGCAGTGTAATGAAGCATAACACAGGCGGGCAGCCAGGCATCAATCTCTGAGGTACCAGAAGAAGCCTTATGAAAAAACATTCGCCAAGGCAATTGGAGTAGCAGGCAGTGATGCAGAAGTGTCAGAGAGGTCAGCCTTCCCATCCATCTGCTGAATAGGAGCTGCTGAAAGGGAATCAAATCTGGGCGCCATCTGGGAGTTCTCTACTCGGTGCTTCTGGTGACCTCTCTTTTTAGGAAAATGTTCCAATGCACAACAAAAAGTATAGCTATTTCCACTAAGAGATGTGTGTGTGTGTGTGTGTGTGTGTGTGTGTGTGTGTGTGTGTTGTGTGTGTGTGTGTGTGTGTGTGTGTGTGTGTGTGTGTTGCTGATTAGAAATCACGGTGCCCTTCTTCATAGAAGGGTCTAGAAACAAAACTCTGACATTGACTCTAGAAAGTCTGCGTCAAAACCCATTTCTGTAGCTGGAAAAGGCTACTGTTCATTTTTCTCTAAGCATCAAAATGCCTCAGTCACATATACATTGTCAAATTTATTCTAAAGTAATGCTTGTTCCAAAGTAAAGGAAATAGCATTTCCATTTCTGGGAACTTGAAAATTTTATCCACCTGGAGTTTCCAAATCAAAGTAGGTTTCCATCAGGTAGAAAATTGTGCTGCTAGATCCCCAAGCAGGTAAGAACTTAACTTCATCAGTCGTCCTTAGACTTGGGTGGCACACCTTTCCCTTGGAATCAATCCAAGTTCTACATAGTATACATGTATGTGTGTGTGTGTGTGTGTACATATATGCACACATAAAAACATGTACATGTACTAAAGTTGTGTTTGAGTCATTTGTACTTAAAACTTTTACCAACCAACTGAGAACAGGCTACCTTTTCAAAAGACAAAAGGCTGAAGGAAAAATTGCAGATATACCATGGGTGGATTTATTTTAATCTTATGGTTTTAAAAAAAACTCTGAAAATATTGTTAACAGTGGTTGCCTTAAGGGAAAAGAAATTTGAAGAGGTAGAATAGAATGATAGGGAGAAACTGTGACATTTTTTAAAACTAAAGCTGAATATTATTTTTTCTCAAACTTTCAAATCAAACATTAAAGAATAAATGTTAACTCCATGACCCTGGGACTGCTATGGAGGCACTAGTGAATATAAAAGCACAGCTGAGGGTAGGAATCTGAAATTAGACCACCTGGGCTTCCATCCTCACTTGCAAATCAGCACAGAGTGACCTCAGCAGAGTTGGTAAGTATAAAACAGGAATACCAATAGAATCAACTCAAAAGCAAAGTGATGTATGTGAAGTCGCACATTGCCTGAATCAGTGTGGGTTATCACTAATGAAGTGGTAATGTCAAGTTCACAGGACAGTAGTGTCATCAGGGTAAGGCTTCCTGGGTGTAAAGTTTTATGCCTTGTCACAGTCAACTTCCCCAAGGATCTTCCTTCTCCTGGCACTTCCTCTCAGGAGGCTATTAGTCAATAATGTTCTTCGGATCACAAAGCCAAGTATAATTATTATTGTTGTTATTTATTAATATCATTTGAATCAAGGTTTCATGTAGCCCAAGTTGGCCTTGATTTTGCTTTGAAGATGATCTTGAATTTCTGATCTACCAGCCTCCACCTCTCAAGTAGCTAACAGACATGTTGCATTGTGCCCATTTCATGTGGTACTGGAAATCAAGCCCAGACTTCACTCATACCAGGCAAGCACCCTTCCAACTCAGCTACGTTATCAGCCTCGATTGAATTATTTAAGTAGAGTAGGGAACAGAATTCCTCAATAGAAGATGTGTATGAGAAAGTCCATAGAATTGAATGAAATTAATCATATTGCCTGTAGCCTGTGAGCTTATAGAATCCAAAAGAAAGCAAATGACTGAATAAGAAGAACAGGAAAGTAGAATGAATCAGGGCAAGCATGGTCAAGAACGGCATTTAACCTCTAATGTACACAGCATATTGCCAAACTCATCACATGCCTTCTCACATTGACTTCTTACAGAAAATATAAGCAGAGTCACTTACTCATTTCATATATATTTACTGAGTAATTAGCATAAATGTTCATTCTAGGGCTATAAGAGTAAAGAGATCCTTCAACCATGGCCGAGTAAGTGAAGAGAGGAGATGGAGTTGAGCTAAGAGGCCAGCAGAATGCAAGATTGTGCATAAGAAATTACATCACATTTAGTTGATCAAAACGGAAAAAAAATCTTAGTGGCTATTCTACATGGAATTCCTTGTGGCAAGGCAAGAGAAGGCTTAGAGAAACCAAGAATGGTGTGGGCTTTCTGCACAAGAGTATTAACAATGAGACAAGTTAGCTCAATCATGTAGCTATACATAAAGAGTTCAACAATAGGAAAATTAACTTTTAAGAACTTTGATGAAATCTCATAGATTTCTCAGCAGCATGCTCCTATTTTTTTCACTTTGCACTGGTGCCATTTTTTAATAAAAGCAAAGACAGTTAAACGTGTTGAGTATGGTCTGGTTTTACTCCAAAGGCTCTTCACACTTGTCTTGCTCTTCTGAAGCAGTCTCTTCTTACCTAGCCCCAGCACAGATCCAAAACTGAGACCTATCTGCCTCCTACCAGCCCAGAACTTCATTTTCCCCAACTCTCCCCTGCACATCTTAAATATAGCATATATAAAAGCCACTGACACACCTATCTGATATTCTGATCCATCTACTTCATCTTTCAACCTTGAAATTTCAGAATCACAATATGGATTTCTCTCTCCTTCAGACTCTGTTCAGTTTCTCTTAATTTCTCCACCCCAGTTTCTCTTCCCTGAAACAGTAGATCCATCCTTAAAATTATCCCCTCAGACTTTAAACCTTTACACACACACACACACACACACACACACACACACACAGAGAGAGAGAGAGAGAGAGAGAGAGAGAGAGAGAGAGAGAGAGAGGGAGAGGGAGAGGGAGAGGGAGAGAGAGAGAGAGAGGAGGGGAAGATAATTGTTTTCTGTGCCAAACCCTGAATAAGTAGGTATATTAAATGATGATGGTGGTGGTGATGATGATGATATGATTATGATATTTAAATAAGTTATAGTGGCTAATTACCAGTGGGAAGGGAGTCTACAATGTCTAATTGCAGGTATTCTGGCTTCTACACTGTGTTGATATCCAATGGCAACTTAAAAAGACTTGTGAGGGGTTCACCAACTGTTTAACTGTAAAGGAGCCTATTGAGACACCATACAACATTAAAGTTTGGATGACTGCCTGCCCATTATGTGACTGAGGACAACTGATGTCTCTTTAATTTGTCTCTTCTTTAGAGTCAACAAACATTCAACTAGAAAAAATTATTCATTGTTAGGTATCTACAAATGTTACGAGTTGGGAAAATGTGCTTATACTGTAACATTTTCTGCATTTGTTCTCAAAAGTCTGCTTTTTGTCATAAAACAAGATGCAAATGAAAAACAAAACAATTAACTAACATTTCAGTTCAATCTTATACTTTATATTTATCTAGACCTTCTCTTTTTTTCCTTGTGGCAAAGTAATATCCACTTTGCACAAAGTCTGTGGTTTCACTCAGAAATATCTTTTAAATAGTGTAGTTATAAATATAGTCATTAAAAAACAATTTTAGGGGCCGTAGAGTCGGCTCAGTGGGTTATAATAGCACTTGCTGTGTAAGCGTGAGGGCCAGAATTTTGATTCCCAGACCCATGTAAAAACCTGTGCAGCTAAAACCGAGTACCTGGCCCGCTTTGAAGGGAGGGGACAGGATTATTGCTGGGGCTTGCTGGCCAATCAAACTAACCAAATACTAAGAACTCCAGGTTCCCTGAGAGAC